GGTTCCCAGCTTCTCAGGAAGGTGAAAGGTTTGGGTGCTTACTGCCCAAGAGAGGTTACTCCACCTGGGAGGTCTGAATCCCCCAAAATAAATGGTTTTGGAAATACCAGCGTCTACATGTCATTAGCACCAGCATTTTCTATCTTGATGGGATATTCAAAATGGGATTGAAATACACAGCTGTATCAAAACAGGGATCTGCAACTCCATAGGAGGAATGTGCATGCTGTTGGAGGGATGGGAGCACTTTTTACCCCTTAGTCTTTTGCCATTCTTAAAAACAACAGGAATGGTTTCACAACATAGGCAAAGGACTTACTCTGCTTCTTGGCTTGTACAAGAGTGCAGTAAGGTGATTTTAAGATGTGTAGCTGTCATACAGTGCAGGATCCTTACTTGAACTTCTGCTGGACGGCTTGTGAGATTAAAGTTAAGAATCTGTTCAAATGTTTTTCTAGGTGCAGTCGCACGCTATGACAAAAAAAATCTGATTATGTAAACTGCTTTTCAGTTACCATCCAAGAGGGTGAAAGATTACAGCAATCTCAACCATAGGGGTAACCCAGATTCCAGACTTCCTTTTCTCTAGGGTAGATTTCCCTCCTGATTTCCTCCTATGACGATCTCAAAAGCCAGCTGTCACAGGCTTCTCCTATTTAGGACTCACAGGGAATATGGTACCTCCCAAAGTTTCTCTGCCACTTTGAATTACCCTAAGTAAGGCACAAGGACAATTTAACCATTTTTTTGTGAGAGATCTAGTGGTCAAAAACTAAGTGGCTTTGAAAGCAGCGCCAACAGGGTTTAACAAACAAACAGTAACACCATGGGAGTTTGCTAATCCCCAAAATCTACAATAAACAGATAAAGTTAATAAGATTCAATAAGAGAGAACAGGCCCATTAACGTTTAAATAGCGCTATCTAAATATTACGCACATTATTTACTGAGTTCCCTTGCTGAATTCGCTGTACACAGGAACACTCAAAATTCATTATCTTTGGACGCAAAGCTTAGTAAATTTGACGGTAATTAATCTCCATTTACCCTCTGTGTGTTTCTGAACAGACGAAAAGTTCATTGAAAAAAGTTCTTTCAGCCGCTCTGAAAGGGAAGCAGTGCTTTGATAAACAAAAAAGCGCCAAACACAGGCTTCTGAAAGGAAAAGAGAGCAGTAGCCAGTTCTGCTGTGGTTCGAGCCAGGTGCTCATTGCAGATTCAGTAGCATGCACTGGCAAGTGTCAGCAGCAGAGAAACCGAAATTACTGAAATTCTTATGCCAGTGTAATTTGCTGAAGGCGATGCACTGAGGGTTAAGGCGAACTGTGCATGTGCTGAGGATTATAAAACAAATTAAAATGGAGGCTAACAAAAGCAGTGCAATATTTATGCATTTCTTCATTCTTTTCACTTCGTGGTACTCAATCGACTTCACAGTCTCTTAAGGTGGCATGGGGACATTGCTATTGTGTACATTCATTTGCTCTTAAAAAGGGGGTTCAGACATGCTAGGCTACAGAATTTAACTGATTCTGCTAATATTTATAAGTATCTTCTTTAACCCACCAAATATTTACAACCCACCATCACTTCTAGTCATATGAAATTTGACCATCAACACAAAAAATGCAGTGAATTTCCCCTTCAACGCTTTCTACTTATCTACTTCAATTTTGGTATACCAGCCTGTTTTACCATGTATTCCTCTCCTTTCCCTTGAAATGCTGCATTTGTGCACCCTAGTTATACAAAAGCAGAAATGTGTTAATCACCCATAACTTGCTGCAGTGGAGGTTTGATACTCAATTTACTAAATATTTTGAACAGCTTCTCTTTCCACTCTACGATCACCCAGCATGGCAGTAACCAAATGGTTCATTACCTTGTGGAATGAGAAACAAGTCCCATATGAAATATGTTCTTGGTTAGGGTATATTCCCAGCCCTCTGCTGGCAAACCCTGCCATGGAGCTCATTGGAGAGGCAAGGACATGTGTCCATGGCTCTGTCCTGCATGCAGTGTCCAGTGTCTCAGCTCCAGCACCATAAATTGGGTTTTGGAAGTCAAGATGTGCCCACCTGTCCCTCTGTCAGCTCTGATGTGGAGTGAGAACCTCTGTGAACAATAAGGATCAAAGATCCGACAGCAATCATATTTTCAGTTGCTACTGGGAGATTCACCCAAGCCTACCTGCAGGGATTTAGACCTCATCTTCATTTCAGAGACCTTTGCATGTTTGGCTATGAGAGGCAGATATATGTTGTCTTCACCTACTGGTGACAGACTGTGAGAAGTGCCTGCAGAACCAGCCCTTCCTCCTACTTACCCTTGGAAACAAAGAAAATTGTTTGGTTTTAATTTTTTATCTGGTTTTGAGCAGACCGAATAGAGCTGCTTGGGACACTAAAGGTAAAACTGAGCCTTTATTTGAATTTCACTGTAACATAAGAGATGTTTTTACACGGGTTAAAGTCTTGTAGCTCCCAGATGTTCCAGGCTCACTCCAGGCAGCACTGCCAGAAATGACCATTAACCCACTGTCCTTCATGTCAGTGTACAAACCAAAGGACAAAATAACTTCTAACTAGCCTCCAACAGTCGCAGACTGAGTGTAAAAGAAGTGACAACAGATGGGATCAGACAGACGGGGGAAGAGAGGGGAAAAAATGAGGCAATATTAGGGAGTGTGACAGGCAGGGATCTCAGCACATCGGCAGCCTCGTTGGTGTTAAGAGACTTTTTTTGTAGCCATCACATATTAAGGTTGTATTTGGAGAGTTAATAGATTTTACACTTGATTTTCTGGCAGGGAGCAGGGAGTCGCTGCCAGCTACGAAGCATCTTGGAAATGAGATTACTTTTCAAGTCTATTCAAGTGATCTATGCATTGTTATTTCTCTGAAAGGTAAAGATGTAAGGGCTAAATGCTGACCTTTATTTCACAGATTCTATTTGAATATCTCCTTCCGCTGCCAGGGAACTACTCCAGATTAACAGCAACGTAACACGGACATCAGGATCTGGATCTTCAAGAGAATCCCGTTTTACATCATTGCAGTAGATGGTTTAAAATTGCATTGCTTTGGCTTGAGAAGCTTTTCCCATACACAGAGGAAGTCAGAATCTCTCCCTTTCTCTGCTGTTAGAGCAGACCGTGATCCAAAGGATCATGTCTATATTCCCAAGCAGTTTCTTCTACAGGATCAATAAATAACCTGATAGTGGTAATTGAGATTATATTTTATGAATGGGGTTATTAGGATTTATGTTCCGGTCGCAGCTACCAAGCAGATCAGATGAACAAACAGAATGGCCAGTCCTGGACCACTTCCCTTACTCTACTCTGTCATTTTTATAGCTGCACACATGCTGCAGGTGCTGATAGTACACACGCCTGACTGTAATCCACACGTCAGTCTGGTAGCACACCAGCCCTGGGAGACACTGCCTCCAGCAGTCATTTCAAGCCTGGTTAAAGGAGCAGAATGGAAACATCAACTAAAGTGATGAAAGTTACGTTTTCTAAAAATGGAAATGAGATCTGTTGGGCAGCTGTTAGGAATTCTTTTTTTTTCATTATCCGATTTTTAAAAAAAATAATACTGAGAAATGCCTTAAAAAGCCCTAACATTAGTGTATGTATTCTTCAGTAATGAGAGAGATGAATGGCTGGGTCTATAATCCCTTATAAATCTTTCATTCTATAAACTGCCCATAGCATTGTTCTTTGTAATGGAGAGCTATATGAAGTTGGCAGGTCCTTTTTCAAATTCCCAACTTACAGGGCAAGACAAAAAAGAACCGAATTAAAGTGGATAAAAAAATTACTCCCCTGGAGAATTGCAGTGAAGCCATTTGCTGGCAAATTATATTCATTTAAATCACTTTTCTTGCTTTTAATATTGAAAATACTTTCAATCATTGAAGAGCCTGTAATTTAAGGTGGTGGATGGCAGGGAGGTAACTGAGGAGATCGGACTAGTTGATCTGCCTCAGCACAGTGGCTGGACCAGACAATTTCTTAGAATTTTTTCAAGTTTGGCATTTTTATAAAACAACCCTGGTCAGATTGCACCTTCAAAACTGTTTGCCTTTAAGACATATGAAAGATACCTTGTTGATAGCAAGAATTGTCTTTGAATCCCAGTTCTTCCCATCTTGAGATACAAGAGGGGTGGATTGTGTGCGCTGATGGATTGAAATCAGAAGGATTTACCCAAGGCAGTTACCACACGGGATGGAGGCAGTGACTAAATAAAATACAATCAGGATTCAGTCTATCCCCCAGGACCACACAGAAATAATAGCATGGAAGGAAATTTTACAAACTAAACCATCACTGTATCTGTGTCTGGCTTTTCCCTGGTGAAATTCAAGTTTCTGAATAATGAGGATTAATGTCAAACCTTTAAAGAGAGTTGGGAGTGTGAGAAGGTATCAGACAAGTGCAGCAATTCCTTAGCTTTGCACACTCGCTCTTTTTTACAGCCTCCTAGTCTGGGTCCACACCAAGAGGTCTCCCACCCTGGCAGTGTGTTTGGGCACAAAATCACCCACTTTGCTTGTCCATGCATCCCTTACTGCTGAAAACACCGTACTGGGGTAGCCCACCAGCAGCATCCTCTCCCTGTGCCTCAGGTACGCTTTCCCCAACCGGCTCCCCTGGGAGCACGCACAGACACACAGACACAATGAGAGCCTCCAACTGGAAATTCAAACAAAAATATGGCTGTCTACTCCAAAAGGCAAACTCATTTACAAAGGTCATCTCTGTCAAAGAAGAATGATGTGTTACTCCCCTCTTGGAGGTGACTGCTGTCGCTCCTCTGCCGAGTTACATTCATGAGCATAGTTTTGAAAAAGAAGAAAGAAAAAAAAAGAGAGAGAAAAGAAAAGACACAAAAGCCCGGCAAGCCCCCTATTCACAGAGCTAGCCCTGCAACTCCCTTTCCCCTCCTCTGGTAAATTCAGCTTCAAAAGACATTAGCATCTTTTCCTACCTTCGTTCTCATCGGAGACAGAAGCCCTTCCATTTTGATCCAATCCTCATGCCAATCCTTGTCCCCAACTTAGTATCTCGTTCCTGTCTCAAGCATCCCACACGAACAAGAGCATGTCAGGGACCGCCAGCGACACCTTTCACGGGAGCTCAGCCAGCTGCCGAGCTGCCAACTTGCAATCCTCAGTCGCGTGGAGCACCGTTCCTGGAGAGACCTTCCTCCCTCTCCCTCCTCTCTCCCTCTCTGTGCATAATCTGCCCGCAGCTATGTTTGTACCATCGCGGCTGACAAACGATCCCTGCCTTACGTAATGCATTCAGCACAGGACAGGCGATCCCAGCCCAGCTGCGGGGACCCGGTCGGCGGCAGCGATGGGAAGGTGTGGGATTTTTGCCCTGCCTATTGTGCCGCTGGGTTTAATCTGGTAACGTCCCCGTGCGGGGCTGATGCTCCTCCACTCTCTGTGCTAGCGAGGGAAGCACCAAGAAAACTTCGTCATCGTGAGAGATTGTGGATTCCCTGGGACTGACTTAAAAGGGTGTAATCCTGATTCCAAGCTTCAGCCCAGGAGGCTTTCCCCGCTCGCAAAACGCCAACAGTTGGAGTATTTTCTGCTGGGCGCGTTTGCTGTCAGTGAGTGACCAAACCCACGCTGAAAGGGAGTTCCTGTCAATTGTCAGCCGGGAACTCAGGGAGAGAAAGAAAGAAAGAAAGAAAGAAAAGAGGGCTAAACAAAAGGAATATAGTCCTGAAAAGTTGGTCAGCAAAAGATACTCTGTGAATGCATTTCTGTTAGCATTTTAATTCAGATCAGAGCATGCCTTTGTGGAAAATTCCCTAATTGCTCCTGCTTCCCGCATTTTGTTTTCCATCATGGAGTGATGTTGGGACTGAATCTCTTTCAGAGAAAAATCCATCTGAAAAATGGGCTTTAGACCTACAAATACACCAGTGTTCAGTCCCCAGGACTGGACCAGACCAGTCCTTTGAAACACCATCAAATGAGCACCAGCTCCCCATCACTGCTCCAAAGGTCGGCTCCCCCCAGGGCCACCCCGCTTCCTAAAACAGACACAAAAAAGACTCCCCTTTCCCAGCCCAGGGGATAACTTTCCACATACCAGTACCCAGTTGCTGTCCAAAAATGAAATGAAATACCCTGTTACACCACCAGAACTTGATTTTCAGTGTTCAAAAATCACTGTCAGGCTGGTTGAAGCATACTGCAGGTGGAAATTTTTAATGCACTTCAACATCAGCTCTTCTTTTAGGCCCCATATCTACATCCTCAGGGATAGTCACAGTTTGATTCAGGTACTGAGCTAGATCTGGTTAAACTCCTGACATTGACACACGTTCCCTGGATGACCACAGGGATCCACCTCATTTAGCTTTCACCATCTAAAACTCTACTTTCTGATCCAAGCCAGCCACTGAGGCTCCTGCAAGACCAACAAGAGAGACAGGTTCTTTCCCAAAGTGATTCATCCCAAATGTACCACGTCAAAGAGAATCCTGTCCTCTGCTCCTCTATGGTTCCTCACCTCTACATAAACCTCTGCTCTTGCTCTGGTCTCCTGCTTTGGCTGCTCAGGTCAGGGACTATCTCTGCCCACATGTGTCCGTCATGCTCAACCCGGGCTCCTGGAGGCTACACTGAGGGGGAGAAGATGCAAAGGAATGTGTTCATGGTGGTGTCATGGTGGTTCCTGACATTCCAGGGTGCAAAGCAGAGACAGACACAACTCCTGCCCTGCAAGCCACAGCAAAAGTGCTCCCAGACAGTGACACAGATGAAGATGTTCAAGCCCACACATCCCTTTTCCTCTCTCTCTCTCCCAATCCTTTTGCCCCTGTAGATCTTGCAGTTTTAGGCCATTCTTATTATTCTTTATGGGGTAAAACAGGGAGGGGAGGTGCCCCCTACAGTGATTAATATTCATGTCAAAAATAATTAACTGTTCTCAGCCAAATTCAGGTCCTTATCAAATGTGAAGGAGTCTGATCATATCATACTGAAGGCGGAGATAAGTTTTCCAGAGCTAGAGGCACGGTACAATGCTGGCAGGCTCATCTATTTCTTGCTGGATGTATATAAATACGTTTTGCTATTGGTATTTAAAAGATTTCAGTAAGACTTGGAATAAATGACAGCAGGAACTCCAGACTCCAGTAAAACAAGGTCGCTGTGATTTTTCTGCTGTACAATGTGGTGTCAGACTCTGATGAGAAATTTACAAGTCTGTGCATCTGTGAAACATCCAAATCATCAGGAGAATTTGGGTCTCCAAAATGTCGAGAAGATCATAAAGAGAGAGGAGTATTTGGGTATTTTGGAGATCTCAGGCCAGCTGATCAAGCTTTAATACAATATGATAATGTGGATGACGCACACATGGTAACATATGAAACCCAGTTCTCCTAAAACTCAGTTCTGCTTTTTACTAGGCTAAACCACAGTGCCTCATGAGGATTCCTGTCTTATCTTTGTTTACAAGCAAAAAAAAAAAAAAAGTATTTCTCCTAAAGCCCAAGAGTAATTCAGTCAGGGACCAGAAAAGCAAGCTGGTGCCTTTCTGGTTCAGCAGCACTCAAAGCCTCTCTGATCTGAATGGATTGGGAATTGTGCTGATACTGCACGAGTCAGAGCAGAGCCCAGATCAGCAGGATGAGCAGGAATGGGAAAGAGAATGGTGCTGTTTGAGCAGCACCCGTGGCTGTGGCCATGAGCCAGCAGCGAGTCTGCCTATCTGGGGAGTGCAGGCTGTGACCCCCTGTTGCATCCCAAAGGATGCTCTGGGTGAGTTATCAGTTCCTGCATGGCATTACCATGAGCCACAGTTGAAGTGGTGTGTGACAGCAAGGTCTGTCCACATCCACCTTCACCGGTGGGGCCAGGGGACCCAAGCGGCTCTGCCAACACATTTTGTCTTGGCTCCTTGGAAAGTTTGGGAATTTCCAGTTAAGAGCTGGAGTAACAGTGGATGGATGGGTATTGTGCATCGTGTCATCCTCCTCTTGATTTCCAGGTACCAGGCAGGACTTGAGCTCTACTACCATCTAGGCAGATACTCTGCTTAGGGCTGTGCAACCACGAACCTGTCCTCGTGCTACAGGAGCAGGACGGCCACTCTTGGCATACTCCAGCCTGTTTGCAACCCCCCTTCACATTCAGAACAGTAATTTTACATCTGTGGGAGCCAGAGAAGTTTATCCTCACTTTAAAATGAGAGCTTTAGTTGCTGCAGCCAGGAGAGCAGTGCTGCAATAGCGTGTGCCATGGTCTGACACTTCCTTCCTCTCCTGGGCTGCAACTCATGGCAATTCTCAAATTACCACAGACTTGTTCTGCAGCCTTAGCTCCTGAGATTTTCAGATCAAAGGCACTGCAGAGGCTAAAGGAGAATGTGAACACTTGCAATCTCATTCTCTTCCTGGGGAGGGGAGCAGCATTTGACTCAGATCCTGGGCAGCTACACCCAGCGTATCTCAGGTTCTCCATCTGCAGAAGAAGGGACCAACTTGTCTGGTTCTCACAGGTGTTGCAGAGGTTCACCCTGTCCTGGATTCAACCCACCACATCCTAGAAGATGGGAATATAATCACTCTTAACTCCTTAACTAGTCATGGGAGTGAGATACCTTGAAACCCCCTCATATATTGTCATAACCTATACGTCTGCTAGACTCTAGACAGCAGACCAAGGTAGATGTCTACCTGGAGCCTGGTACATCCTACCTGGATTCAGCCTTGGAGATGAATCTCTTTCTAGACTCTGCTGACTATGTTGACAGACCTCCATGAACCAGAATGAGAGCAGAGATATCTCCTGATATTTAGCCAAGTAGATCCAAATGACTGATTTTAAGTGCCTGACTCTGCAGCTGATTGCCCTGTGTATCCAGCAATAGGAAAAAATGGTCCAAAGAAGTCTTGTGTTCACTGTCAGGCTACTGATTGAGGGTCCTAAAACCAGCCAAACTCAATGGTATGTAATTGAACCCTCAGCTTTCCTCTTGTTTACCCTTTGTGGGTGCGTCCAAGATGAGATAAAACTTCTGTAAATTGAACCCTTCCTAACCTTTGGGGTGGGGATGCCAACACAGAGACAAGTTGTGCTGCCTGTACTGGTCCTGAAAAGCAGAGGGAATTTGGATTTGGATCCAGTACCCATTGCTCTGTGATGCGAAAAGCTGCCACCTCCTCTGCCTTCCACCCCCAGACCTGTAGGTGATCGGGACAATAGATGCTGTGGCAGCCCAGCTGTCCCTGCGTGTGTGCCCCTGGCCGACCCCGCAACTGGTCATTTCATTCATCGAACAAAAGGTAGCATCGCCGTGTTGCCATGGCGACGCCCCGCCATCCGAGTGGCTATAGCATCGTACAAGGGCGGGGAAAAACATCCCGTCACATACCGGGGCTGCGCTGAAACCTATCTTATATTTAGAACAGGCGGCGTGGGGAATACTAATGAATATTTAACACTCGGAGTGCCTTTCATGCTCGCTTTTTTATTTTTGTTGCGTACTTCCCACAAGCACAACATTTGCTTCCAAGTAGTATGAATATTATTGTGTGCTACTGTGCTTCTCTCATTGCTGCTTCTCAAGGTTTCCTCTGCTTTTCACGAAAGAAAACTTTTCACGGGTTACCTAAAAAATGGGCAAATGCTTATGTTTTACAAGAACCAGTCCCTTTTAGGGCTTTTTTTTTTTACTCTCATTAAAAATAGCTGCTTTCAACAATTAATTCTCCGTGTTGCAGAAAATAAATGAATCAATCAATCATTCTAACTTTCTTTCATTCATTCAGGAAAAACGCACACCTAAAAATGTCCTAAAATTCCTTTCTTTTGTCTTTTTTCCCTAAATGGTGAATGGTGAAAAAAAGAGGTCTAACCATCCAAATTATGAATAATTTTATGTGCCTCTTTATAGGATACACTTTAAAAAAAGGCAAGAGTGCTGAGTATGGTGGTGAGTCCCACCCAGTACTGCCCAGGCTGCGCAGGTAGATTTGGAACCTCCATGTGGTGAGCAAGCTGATTGTTTTTGAGGATGGCAAAGGGAAGCAAGACCAGCACTGCCTGGGGTGGCGTGGGGCACAGGTGCCCACCCATGTGAGTGCAGCTCATAGCACTGCCAGCCTGGGGATTCCCCTCTCCAAGAGGTGCTGGAAGGATGCAGCACGGCACAGACTGGGCTGTGCTGATGGCTGGGTACATCCTCTCTGGGATGGCACTTCCTCTTCAGTCTCCTGTTTAGCTATAGATTATGTTATAAACAAGGCTAAAAAAATGTGATATATCAGACCTTGTTCTGAAGCAATCTCCTGGCACATATAAAGCTTTGTTCTCAGAAAGGCCAGGTTCTCAGAGTGAAGTGTGCTCTTTTTACTAGCCAGAGGCAAGGTACTGGCTCTTTTTTGAGCCTAGGAGCCCTAAAAAAGCTACTGGGATCCTTGAAAGCTTATCTGTGTGCTTCCTGCTTGGTACCACGCCAAGACAC